GTGTAGGAATCCCAAACTATGCTTACGGGACTCTTTAAAAATGCTAGTGTTAGCTCTCCACCAAATCTACACAAACGTACTTCACTTGTGGAAGTCTATTAACTTAGACAGTGCTTAGGTTGGAGATTCTCTCCCATATCAACTTTCTTTTCTTTCGTAAGTTCTCGCGCGTTTAGATATGCGCCACACTCGCGGTTTTGGTGTCGGGGTCTTAAACTATGTTCACTGGACTTTTTTAAGATGCTAGATTTGGCCCTTTCTCGAATCTACACACGTGTATTTCACTTGTGGAAGTCTGTCGCTTTGGACAAAGCCTGGGTTAAAGATTTTCACCCATTTATATCTTTTTTTTTACTCGCGTGTTTTTTTGAATTAGTTTAGAGTCCCTGGGATTTGGAAATATCGCGCAAGTTCCTGGAATTCCACCCAAAGTTGGTCAAAATCATGCTGCGCGTAGCCCAGTCTCGGCGAGTTTCTAGTCACTAAGTGGCTATATTTCGCCCAGACTGTTCATAACCAAGCGTTCAAAACTTTTTCCTCTATCCATTTCACTGAAAACCAAAGTCTTCTCGAATTAGTTTAGAATCCCTGGGACTCGGAAATATCACCCAAGTTCCTGGAAATCGACCCAAAGTTGGTCAAAATCACGCTGCGCGTAGCCCAGTCTCGGCGACTTTCTAGTCACTAAGTTAGTTATAGAGGGGCTACATTTCGGCCAGACTGCTCATAGCCAAGCATTCAAAAATTTTTCCTCTGTCCATTTCAGTAAAAACCAACGTCTTCTCGAATTAGTTTAGAGTCCCTGGGACTCGGAAATATCGCTCTAGTTCCTGGAAATCGACCCAAACCTGGTTAAAATCACACTGCGCGTACCCCATTCTCGGCGACTTTCTAGTCACTAGGTAGCTAAATTTCGGCCAGACTGCTCATAACCAAGCGTTCAAAAATTTTTCCTCTGTCCCATTCACTGAAAAGCAAAGTTTTCTCGAATTAGTTTAGTCCTTAGGACTTGATATTATCGCCTAAGTTCCTAGAAATCGACGTTAAGTTGGTCAAAATCACGCTGCGCGTAGCCCGGTCTCGGCGACTTTGAGCACTGTCCAAATCGATAGACTTTCACAAGTTAAATACACGTGTGTAGATTTGGGGGACGGCTAAAAGTAGTTAGGTAAGCATTGGTGGGCATCCCCGCACCTAAAACGCGAGTGCGGCGCGCGAGAACTTACGAGAGAAAAGAAAGTTGATTTGGGCGAGAATCTCCAACCTAAACACTGTCCAAATCGATAGACTTGCACAAGTAAAATACGATTGTGTAGTTTTGGGGGAGGGCCTAAACTAGCATTTTTGAAGAGCCCCTTAAGCATAGTTTGGGATCCTCATACCAAAAAACGCGAGTTTGCCGCATTGCTAGACGCGCTAAAATACGCGAGTAAAGAAAAAGTATAAATGGGCGAAAATCTCTAACCCAGGCATTGTTCAAAGCAACAGGCTTCCACAAGTGAAATACTAGTGTGTAGATTTCAGAAAGGGCCAAATCTAGCATCTTTAAAAAGTCCAAAGAGAAATAGTTTAAGATCCCGACACCAAAACCGCGAGTGTGGCGCATCTCTAAACGCGCGAGAACTTACTAGCCAAAAGAAAGTTGTGATAGGGTAGAATCTCCTACCCAAGTACTGTCCAAATCAGTAGACTCGCACAACTGAAACACACGTGTGTAGACTTGGGGGAGGGCTAAAAGTTGCATCTTTAAAAAGTTAGGCAAGCATTGGTTGAGATTCCCGCACCTAAAACGCGAGTGTGGCGCATTTGTAAACGTGTGAGAGCTTACGATATAAAAGAAAGTTGATATATGCGAGAATCTCCAACCCAAACACTGTCCCAATCGATAGACCTCCAAAAGTGAAATACACGTGTGTAGATTAGAGAAAAAGCCAAATCTAGCATCTTCAAAAAGTCCAGTAAGCATAGCTTGAGATGCCGACACCGAGATCGCGAGTGTGGCGCATTTCTAAATGTGCGAAAACACGCGAGAGAATAAAATATAAATGGGCGAGAATCTGCACCACAAGCATTCTCCAAACCGACAGACTACCACAAGTGAAATACACGTGTGTAGATTTGAGGGAGGGCTAAAAGTTGCATCTTCAAA